TTCTGTGTGATATTGGTGTGCGGATTGGAAGGGGATTAAAGCTGAGAAAAAGGGTTATCGCTGCGACTTGAAACTTCAACAGAATACTGTCAACAGTTTGACTTCGGCTTCGCTAGCGGCTGCGCGTGTTGGCCATCATTGCGGGGCCCTTAGGCGAGTCAAGGAAACAAGGCCCTCTCGCGCGAGTCTGAGAGCACCCTTCTGGTATTTGAGCGACTCAAACTTTCTTCTTTTGGCCTTCTCACTCTAAGTTTAGTCTGTTGGTTCTGAGAGGAAGGTGGTAGGTGAGATTGCAACCTGTAGGACCGCAGCAAGACTCTGTGGGGAGTCGGCCTACTGATTGCGGGAGCTGTGCCGGAACTCAGGAGGAGTTTTGGAGGCAGGGGACGGAGAGGTCAAAATTTCATTTTCCCTCCATAAACCCAGTTATAACCTATTATTTATATTTCTGACTATGTTTTGACTAAGTGTACTGAGTGCATCCCTACTTTGACTTTCAATTTGACTTTCAGGATATGATCCAGACTTAAGTGAAGGAATGTATGCGTAATGCCAGTTTCAGTTTCATTGTTTGACTGAAAGCAGATTATGGGATTGCATTTGGGTGAAGGATGGGAGGAAGGCAGTATTGCTTGTCTGACTGGGTCAATCAAAGGTTGGGCAAGTCTTCATAAGTTTGGGGAGACCCAGTGCTATGTTTATTTTTGATTGTTTGGAGAACCAGACATGTTCCATAAGTTTGGGTAATCTGGTTGCTCTGACTTGTGAGGGCTGACTGTGATTGACTTTTCAAGGACAAAGTATGTTCCATAAGTTTGGGTGGCTTGGTCGCGTTGCTTACTTTGGGTTTCTTTCAATTTCTTTTGGTTCTGAACGAGGAGGTTTGAGCATATTCCATAAGTTTGTGTGACTCAGCCTCTTCCTGCTTTGGCTTTAAGGGAAAACATCAGGCGAAAGAGCGGACATGTTCCATAAATTTTGTGGTCTTGGTCCAATGTCAAGCACATGCTGGAACCAAAATGCTATAACTTGGCTATACTTTATTATTATTTTATCTATGAACAGGCTAGTCAGACAGTGTTCCATAAGTTTGGGTGGTCTGACTATAGCTTATCACGAATTGAAGAGAGCATTAACTAAGAGTAAATTTGTGGTACGAAGAGGCAGACTGAATCTTGAGCTAAAGATGATCGATTCAGTTATATGCTACCTCATAAGACTAAGTGTACATAATTATATAAAATTTGGATACTCAACGAGTTCAGGGCGACTAGGGTGGCCTAGTCATGTGCCCTAGGAAGAGAAAAATTGTTGTGCCCCGTGTTTGTGTATATTCAATGACTGAGCTAGACATGTTCCATAAGTTTGGGTGGTCTAACTTTATGCCTTATGTAAGTTGGGTATAAAGGGATAAATCATTGAAAGACTATGAACTATTGTTTGGTAAGGTTAACTTTGGGTTGGGGAGAGTACTTACCTTTTTTGGTTTGACCTTGCATGTGACTGAGTGAGATTACTACTTGGGTTGAGTTTCAGTTTAACAGGTAGTTGTTTTAGATGCTCGCCACGTGCTAGAGTCATAGGAGTTACTTTCAATTCCTGCATTTTTCGAGTTAAGTTTTTTTTACTTAGGTCAATTTCTATTTTTTTTGTGATCTTTTATTTTACTTGGTCTTCTATAAAGCTTGGTAAGTCACTTTCTCTACGGGAAGCGCTGCCGAAATTTCTACAAAACTAAGAAGTTGGTCAAATTTTAGTTTTCAAAAGTTCAGTTTGTCTCAATTATATACACGACTTGGTAAAAATATGAGAAATCTCATTTTCTAAAATAAATGTTGCCCAAATTTTTGCTAATTCAAGGAGTTAGACAAAATTGAACTTTGGGAAGTTAAAGTTATTTTCTAGATTTTGAACTTAGTTTTGTATAAATCTTGGAATAACACTGCCGAAATTTCTACAATTATAAGGGGTTAGTTAAACTTTGTCTTAAGTCGAACTCAAGTCTGGCTTCTGATTTCTTATCTAACTTAGTATAAATATGAGAAGTCTATTTTTCTAAAGGAGATGTTGCCCAAATTCTTACTAATTCAGAGAGTTGAACAAAATTTAACTTTCCAAAGTTAAAAATTATTTCTGTTTTTTTTTATATCTGAGTTAGTATAAATTTCAACAAGGCACGTTTCCTACGGGAAACGCTACCGAAATTTTATAGGTGGCAGGTTTGACACCCCCCCCTAAATAGGGGAGATGCTACCATAGGTCTACGTCGCGTTGAATACTCGCTTAGAGGTAGGCTTAAACTTAGTAGCAGAATAACCTTGAGTGAGATTGTGGTTTAAAGATTATTCATCATGAACTTATAGATTTAGCTTGGGGATTGACCTGTCTTGTGTTACATGTCCTTTTGATCGTTTGATTCAAGATTTGAAGTAGATTCAGCTTGATCCTACGAGGATCATTTTCTGTTATCACTGATAATAGGTCGATTGCTGCAATCCCCAATTCACACAGGGCACACACCAGGGGTGGAGAAAAAACAACGATTTATCTCAATTAATTGAAACCTTCGATAGCTAACAGTATTTATATGAGACTGTTCTCAGTTCATTCATCGAGACTAAAGAATTTTACAGACCAATGTCAGATCATTTGCAATAGCTCCACCCTTCCAGTGGAGAGGAGGGATATACTTCATCCTTTAATATTACCGTTGTATCTAATAAAAGAGGTACTAAAATCGCTAAATGTAATACAAATATAAGTTTCACTGATCTTATGAAAGTTGATCGAAAACCTATTTTTAACCAAGTGGTTAGGACAAATGTCCACCCTACTTTATCATAGTTTTTTTTTCCATGTCAAGCAACTGCTATTTGTCCTTCCTCCTTCCCAATTACTTCATGATTTGTATATGGTCAAAATATTATCAAAGACTAATCGTTCTTTAGCAAAGGTCTTCCGATCTCACCCAATAATCCCAATAAGTATCTCCCCCAAGCGTGTGGTCTGTGCTTCAGTGAAGATTTTGTAGACCACATTTAGGACTGATATCGGTCTATAATACTTCACCTCGTATTTGTTCAATTCTTATACACTAGTGAAAAAACTCCTTTAGTAAAACCATGTGGAAAGAAGTTTGTTACAACTCTGGGTCAATAAGGAAAAAAATATTTCCAACAGTGTTATAACAACTCGATTGTCATTCCATCTAGACCAGAGCATTTGCCCTTGGCCATCTGACGAACAACAACTTTTGACTCACTTGGTGTGAAGAGAGATTCAAGAGAGGTTTTTTTGTTGGTGAGAGATTTGCATGTCTGATCGATCTAAAAAATCATTCAAAATTAACAAATTTGTTTCTAATGAGTCGAATGAACGTCTTGTTATAACAATGTCCTTAAAATATAATCGGAAAATTTCTCATAATTAAATAATAATTCTATAGTAAAATTATATTCTAAATTTTAATTTTTCATTCCATCTTAAAAAATGTGATTCCACTTTTATTTTATTTTGTCTTACTTGAAAACTTTCCTTTCAAAAATTGCGTATCTGTTTTTTTTTTAATTGCATGTTAGAGATGAAATGAAAGTCTGGATGAGTTCATAAAGTATTTTAATCGAACTATCATTCTATACAACAATTTATAATTATTAATAATTTAATCCAATTTAAATTAGAAGATATGTGTGGTAGTAAAATAAAAGTTTAATTAAGAAATTTTATAAATTCGTTTATATTTTTATTTCATTTTCAACAAATAAACGTAGTTGGAAGGGAACGCTCATTCTTACATGGGAACTTATCAAGTAAAACTGGAAATTTTAGAATTTGATGAACATTTAAATAATAGTTTTTAAACTAGGCTACCAGAGTGGCCCGAGGTCACTTGCCCGACCGGGCCAAAAAGATAAAAATATATATATATATATTTTAACATTTTATTTTATATTTTAAATTTGGTAAAGAATTTTGATGTGAGCCTGTGACAAAAGTTGTTTAGTTTATTTTTCTACATAACATAGTATTTATTTATTTATTTTTTATTTAATTTTTTGCTGGGACCTTGTCTTGTCCTTGCACGGGCTGGTAACCCGAGGCCCGGGCGGCCCGGCTGGTAGCCTAGTTTTTAAATATAAAAGATTTTTTTTCAATGTAATATTTTTTCAACTTTAATTTATTGTGCGAATTTTTTTGTTGTAATTTTCGATATAGGAGCATATTGATTCTATGTCTGTGGTCTTTGGTGCCATACAGAGTGTTGTTTGCTTACAGGTCGGATATCTGGCCCAGTCCTGTTGTACGATTAAGCCTTGGACAGGTTTTGACCCGTTTGTTTGTCCGGCAGAGCACCTACCTGGTTTGTTTCTTTTCTGTCTGATGTGCAGCTGCATGGAGGACCAGATGGTCCAGGTACCGGACTAGTACTTTTTAGAAGTTTCTGTTTTTTGTCGTTACTTGGCTTTGGACTGAACGAGGATAGTCAGTACTACTGGTATGCTTTATCGGCCGTCTCGTTTTTTCAAGATAGCGGGACTATAACAAAGAGTTAGCAGGTTAGCGTCCCGGTACTCCGGGTTAGCGAAGTACTTTGCTTCACCATTTTCGGAGATGCGCGATGCAGGGACTGACGTTAGGACTGTGGAAGAAGGGATTGAGGGTTAGGGAAGAAGCATGGGTGGAGAAACTCCCTGAAGACGATCGCGTCGGCGATCGAAAGGGGTAGCCATACCCACCGGAACTGGTCTGTGAACTCTTGTATTTTTCATCGTTCATTGGCAAGTGTAATTTTGTGTCACTTGTCTGTGTGTTTGGAGTTTCTTCTCCATTATCACTCTATATTTCTTTATGAAACTTCAAAAGGCGCGTGTGAACCTGCCTGGATACGTTGGCCCGGGCTTGAGTGAGCACGATTTGTTGACGTTACGGTGACTTTGACGTTTGGAAGCAACATCGAGGGAGCGAAGCGGAGTGAAGGAGTAGCCAGTGGGTAGGTGAACCGCGAGCATGGCGGATCGAAGGTCGAGAGAACCATCAAGGGATTACGATAGAGACTGGAGGGACAATAGATATGAAGGGCGAAGGGAAGACCGGCGTGAGGAGCACCGCCATGGTGAGGAACGGAGGGAAAGTTCTCGCGAACGAGGTTACCACTCTGGCGATTACCGACGAAGAGGACCGCCAACCTGCTTCGAATGCGGTCAGGTGGGTCATTATCGCAATCAATGCTGGAAGTTAACCGGCGCAGGGACATCGAAGCAAGGGGAGGTAACAGCTAAAGACAAGAAGGAAGTGACCGAAGGGCTACCCGACAAAGAGATTTTGCTGGAAAAAATTGCAGACCTGGATATCTCACTGGCATCGGTCCAAGACTTCATTGCGAGAGAGAATCGAAAACTTGAAGAAAAGGAGCAACGCAAGCAGCTGAAATTGCTTAAAAAGCAACAAGAGGCAGAGGAAGAAGAAACTCGTAATCCCGAGAATGGGCTTACAAAGAGAAACAGAAGAAGAAGATTGTTAAGCTACAGGAAGCAGAAGAGGCGAGAATGCAAATGAGAAAAGAGATAAGGATGGAAGTATCAATGGCAGTCGGGAGACTGGAAGGCCAAGTCTGCGGGAAGATTCTTCAGGCAATCGGGACAACAGCAGTACGCGGCAAAGGCAAGCAGCAAATGGCCTCACCATCAGGATCACACAGTGGAAGCGAGAGTGAGGGGAGCGAAGTGGAAGAAATTAGTAAGCTGACGAGGAAGATGGCTATTACCGAAAAGCGAAAGCGGAGTGCTGAGAAGGCTATCGGGAATAACCCGCCAATGGAACAAGCAGCGAAGCAAATACCGAGGACACCGGGGGTAAGACCGGTGCGGCTGGCAGTGAAGTTACAGACAAGTAACAAGAAGACCAAGAAGACGCCGAACAAATATACGCCGAGGAGAGGGGCCCCGAAGACGAAGATTGCGGCTATGATGGGAGCCGCGAGAAGGGCCAAATTCGTACGAGAGAATGTCTGTCAACTTGCTGAATTGCCGACTGACGACTTGAAGGAGATTTGCCGTAAAGAAGGTGTGGACTACGGTAACAAGACCATCGCAACCATCAATATTGCCGAGAAACGCGGGAAGGATGCTTATGACGCAACAACGACCCGGATGACTGTTGAGATCGTGACACAAGAAGACGAAGAAGATACGACAATTTCCGAGGATGATGAATCGCAAGGGGAGAACCTTGCCGCATGAACCAGTGTGGACGATGAACGTATGTGGTTGCTGGTCTCATGCTTGACGGATAAACGAAGACAGTGTAAGCTGGACAAGAAGTTGGAGAAGATTTACCGCATGGTGCTAATCTTGCTTACATTGAGTGGACCGATTAAGTGGCTAACTAAGTGCGTGGACACGTGGGTGGAATTGTATAGGGTGGAGGGTCTGGACTTTCTGGAAGGAACTAACTTGGAGTACCTGTTGGCATCACCGTATTGCCGTGCACAATACGTTGGTCAGACGACGAGAGATGTGAACGTGACGTGGAGTGAGCATGTGTCGAGATGTGAGAAACGGAGTAAGGACACCCACTTGTATCGATGGTGGCAAAATTTTGGTTGGGAGTCTTACGTTTTGCTACCGATTGCGAGATGTAGTGACAGCGCTCTGATAGCGCACGAACGGTTGTATATTTAGTAGTGGTGTCCGACTTTGAACACAAACGGTAAGCGAAGAAGGAGAGGGCGACGCAACAAGAAGAGAAGAGGGAAGAACGAACGCAAGTAGAGCAGACAGGTTGACTGCGGGTCACCGATTGAGAGACGAGCGGTACCAATTGCAGTGAGGGTGGTTGGCCGCACCGATTGGTCGAACGATGTGTTTAGTACCTTGGCCGAACTCGAAAAGGCGGGGGTTCGTGAGTGTGAGTTGGAATCATCGGGGGGTAATTGTTGGCTGAAGGGATGGAAGCGGATTCGAACCGCATTTGGGATGACGTATATGGGTAAGGCAAGTGAGAGGTTAACTTTGGGGAAGAGTAAGAAGCGGTTGGAGGAAGGAGGGGTCATGAAGATACGGTACTTGCGACGCTAGTACCCGAAGGTAACTCACGATGAACACGCGTTGATTAAGTATCTTCGGAACCCGAGGAAAATTCCGGACTTAAAGACCCTCGAAACCGAGCAACTTTTCAAGTTCTATAGAGCGGCAAAAGAATTCCAGAAGAAAGGAACAAGGTCTTACCTGCGGAGAATTGTGTCCAGAGCAATTAAGGAGTCTACGAACTGGCAAATGAGAGCTGATCTAACGGTCAAACTAAAGTTTACCGACAGGGTGAAGTTGTCTGAAGTAAGGAAATTAACGAGTGACAAGATCGAGGATCTTGCACTTCCTACGTGCATGTCGATGAGAGCACGTAGTAAGGTGAAGATCGTCTGGGTGAAGAACCCAACGATTGGTGACCTACTACACAATCAACGAACGTTTGCGAAAGCAGAGGTCTGTGCCTGCAGTTGTGCAGATTTACCCAATCCACGGATACGAGATCATGTGCGCTTCCGACTACATGAGTTGGAGGGAATCGATCCACTTGTTGTGAATGCTAAAAACGTGCCTAGAGTAGCAAATCCACAACGCGCCGACTTACTGGTGAAGGAACTGCAGGAGGCTTTCGCATCCTGGCCGAATGGTAACAGACAACCTACATCGGTGTCATTAGACGAAGCCTTGAAGTGCATGGCGGAGACGCGACCAACGAATCGCAACTATATTGATCTCGATACTATCAAGGCGTTAAAGGAATCACTCGAAGGACTGGTATGCACACCACTCGACAAAAACCCAGGGGAGACTTTAGTTCTCTGTCCAAAACTGTACCATGAGGTGATGATGACGACTTTCGTCTGTAATCCGGGTTACAGGATAGTGAAGGAAGATTAATCGTTAGTGAAGGAGCAGATGAGAAAGAATTTGAAGGAAAAGGGCTTAGTTTGTTGGACACGATTTGATGGGAAGGGATATTTTGGACAGGCTTAAAACACAAGGATTTGGATCGGTACCAACCGTCACACTCCGAACCAACTTTCAGGACGTCACGTTGCATTGCTAAAGCACTCAATCATCTTTTGTTTTCTCTACCTCAGCGGTGGCACTTCAATCTCAGGGCAGTGTCGGACCTGACACCTATGATCGGTAGATTGAACCATGTACGAAAGGAGAGGGGCAATGCGCACATAACCGCGATGTCGTATGACATCAAGGACATGTTTAGCAAGTTGCCGCATGAGGAAATCTTGTTGGCTATTGATTGGATCATTAACCACTACGTTGAGAAGAGAAAGAGTATTGTGAGAGTTAATCCAAGAGGACGGGGCTGCACTTTCGGAGCTGCAACAGGCGCGGACCACTGGCGGAAGATTGATTTGAAAGATTTGCGGAGATTTGTGTCTTTCGAGTTGGAACATACCTATGTGAAAGTTACCAACGTCTTGCTGCAGCAGCGGGTTGGCATCCCCATGGGGAAGAGTACCAGCCCTCCACTTGCTTGTATCCTCTGCGCTCACACAAAGTACAAGTTTCTGTCAGCTCAAGGAAAGGACAGCGAACGAATCATAAGGATCCGGTTGATGGACGATGTGAGTGTACTGATCTTCGGAAGAACCAAGACACTGAGAAGTATGATCAAATCCGTAATGCGTTTGAAGTCTATTACCCCAGTAACTTGACGTTGAAGCGCACTGATGAGGGGTTCGGTAAATGGGATTTTTTGGGACTGAGAATGACGGCACAGTCAAAGTTTCCATACATTAGCTCTGTACAAGTTTCGAAGAATGAAGTGAATCCGTAGACGGATGAGAAACTCGAGTTCGAAAACGGGCAGAGTTACTACTCCTGGGGTAGTAAGACTCAGAAGAGCGCCGTAATTGCGGGTTACTTGCACCGAATAGATAGGAATACGACGACACGTTCAGACTTGCCCGAACAGGTGCTCGAGTTATGTAGAGAGTTGAGGATTAAGGATTTCCCGATTGATTTTTTCATGCGCACATTGAAGCGCTTCACGAAGGGTAGGGATAAAATCTGGGAAGCCACTTACACGTGGCTAGACACCCGTTTTTACTAGGTTCTACGCTTACGAGACAGTGGATGGTCGTCTCGTTACTATACTTTTTTTCCCCAGGTTTTGTTTGAGCCCTGTGTTGACCTTTTGCCATGTTGATAGGTTGTCATGTCTGCTTTGTTTTGTTAACTGTGAGTGACAGAGAACATAGCGGTTACTACTGGTTTTGAGTAACTAGGCTGATTTGCACGGAACAATAACATTGTAATAATACCTTTGCTACGTATGATGACTACGTTTTTTTAGAATTTTTTTGGTACTACAATACGAACTTGCGTTATTGAGCAATTCGAAGACGGATGTATTTGCTTTGTGGGTTCAAGTTTTGTTTGTTTGCCTTAGCCTTGGACATGGCTTTTGCCAAGCTGATGCATCAGGCTGAGCCCTGGGTTTTCTAATTTTTCTAATTTTTCGGGTTACTTTAGCTAAGGATAGGGTTGGTGCCATACAGAGTGTTGTTTGCTTACGGGTCGAGTATCTGGCCCAATCCTGTTGTACGATTAAGCCTTGGACAGGTTTGACCCGTTTGTTTGTCCGGTAGAGCACGTAGCTGGTTTGTTTGTTTTCTGTCTGATGTGCAGCTGCATGGAGGACCAAATGGTCCAGGTACAAGACTAGTACTTTTTAGAAGTTTCTGTTTTTTGTCGTTACTCGGCCTTGGACCGAACGAGGATAGTCAGTACTACTGGTATGCTTTGTCGACCGTCTCGTTTTTTCAAGATAGCGGGACTATAGCAAAGAGTTAGCAGGTTAGCGTCTCGGTACTCCGGGTTAGCGCAGTACTTTGCTTTGCCATTTCCGGAGATGCGCGACGAAGGGACTGACGTTAGGACTGTGGAAGAAGGAATTGAGGGTTAGGGAAGAAGCATGGGTGGAGAAGCCCCCTGAAGACGATCGCGTCGGCGATCGAAAGGGGTAGCTATACCCACCGGAATTGGTCTGTGAACTCTTCTATTTTTCATTGTTCATTGACAAATGTAATTTTGTGTGATTTGTCTGTGTGTTTGGAGTTTCTTCTCCATTATCACTCTGTATTTCTTTCTGAAACTTTGGTGCCACTAGCTCAAAGAAGTGATCAAATTAAACTATTATTGTTTTTTTCCTGCCGTAGCAGTAAAAATCTAAAGGTTATTTTAGTCATTCTATCATACCTCAATACTCTCCTAAGCTTCAACCATTCCAACCATTAATTTTGCCTATGAGATTCATACCCTTTCAACTGCCTGAGGCAACTTTATTTTCTCTCATACCAATAAAAGTCAGAGAATGATTCTACTTACACTACTCTCGTATTGAATTCTGCCTATCTATTAGGCAATGCTCCTTCCACTGTCTATTTGCGACCTTCATTTTTGAGAAAATCATTAGGGTCGCATGTATTATTCATAAGACCACGACAACCAAGTTATTTTCATTTTCATATAACAAATTTGTAATATTCGTCCATTGTTTTATCTGGTTATTCACCCAGTTCATCATTCCCTCATCCTTTAGATTATTCACATTGATTCTGAATTTGAGATGAGATCCATAGAGACTGGATAATGGTCCGACAGTGTGCTCGTGGAGAAGTCACTCCACGTGCACCTATCCCAAGGTGCTCTCCTAGCCTGTAAGAAGTCTAACCGTTTTTTTGTTGAGGGGATGGGGGCTTAGGTCTGGCCCCGTACCAATTTTTATGGTATTTAACTTTGTCTTTTGCAAGCCTAAAATGTGGACTGCATTAGAGTGCAGCCACTCTTTCATTCGAGTATTTTGGTTTCGGAATGAGGAATCCCCTAATCCTCTTATATTCCATGAGGTTTGCGGACCCTACTACGCAAGATCATCGCTAAGTCCTGTGTCGACAATTTCTTGGATGTGGTTGTCTTCTTCAGTCCAGACTGGAAGGTTTGAGGGGAATGAACTCATGTATAGTTCTTGCAGGTTTCTTAGTTGAGACTCCTCACTCATCCTCTCCTGTAGATCTGCATACCTAATCCAATCGGCCAACTTTTTTCCAATCAGGCCAGCTGCTATTCTTATTTTTGACATTGTGTTTGCCTTATTGAGAGCAAGGTCCAGAAGAGGAGACCATTGTAATCTTAGTGCGCATCACTTTTCAAAGGAATAACCCTATGAATTGCTAAACAATTAATGTATAGCAAAACCGATTCTCCTGAGCGAGGGACAAATAAGTACCTGTGTGGTCTCATCTTAAGGATG